CCATACCATATCCTCTGGCTGGAGGCAATTGCAATAATATTTTATGCATGATTTATTCGCATTTCCATATGTTATATGTTTTCTGCTGTGGAATGCACATCAGGCATTTTTATTAACCAACAGTTTTGGGGGGGGAGGGTTTTGTACGTCATAAGGTATGGACATTAAAAGGATTAATATGAAGGTCAAATTTCGAAAAATTGAATCGTCTACTCTATATAAAAAACAAAAAGTGACTTCTTCATACAGATTGAAAAAAAAATAAAGATTCATAATCAAAATAACAGTAATGTTTATTTATGTTTTAAATAAATGTAGGAAACTCAATTAGAGCCATGAAGTCATATTCACTTGACCATAGTATCAGCAGTGAGAGATGTTCCCTATGGACCTTCAGCACGGTAATCAATCACTTGCTTAAGAGGCTTAAAATGCTGCCAAACAGATTTCCTAATACTGGAAAACCAGCAGAGGGATGTAGTCTGGAGAAAAATATTATTGATGACGGTATTACAGGGATTTGAACAATTCAGTAGCACCTGCTGCAATGGTCAGAAATTACAAAAAAATATATCCTAAACTGCAGTAATAATAGCACACAATATCTAGAAGAAAATGTACTTAATCACAGTCTGCACTAACTTGCCTACACTGAACAATAAACTAATAAAGAAAATTATAGAAGTTCTAAACTCTGCATTAAGCAAAACTCCAAGTACCATAACCACTACACCAGTCGGAACTGATTATGGTGTCTATAGTGCATGGAGAGACTTGCGCGAAAGGGCTTCTTGACAAATAATACAATATGTCCATACAGTAGAACTGAATCACCATATTTGTTTGCGGAGATTGGTTATTTTTTATTTTATTTATATTTTTGTTTTGTATAGAAATACAAAGCAGCTGACCCAGCCACAACAGCATAGGTGAACAATCTACGAAATACATTGCGGATATGGCATTCGCTGAATTTGCACCTTTTTTAAGTAAGAAGAACAAGCTATATATACATGTCTACATATGGGTTAAAATATGAGCTTGCAAACAAATAGGCTGTCTAGAAATGTGGACAACTGAGAGGAGAACACAAAGTATAAAAGCTAAATCACATGTTAAATCAGTACACAAGAAAATACCACTGCATCTAGGATCTCTATCGAGGTGCTCTATTAAACACAACATTAATTAAAAGCAATAAAAGGGACAATGCGTAACATCAAATAGAGCACAGTTCAAGCGAACAGCTGATTAAACAAAGGGCCGCAGGAGGTAGATGCTAGGGCTGCATGTTTTCGTGTGCTCCAGGTCACCCTATTCCCAAATTCGGGGTGGGGGGGGGGCACAGCAGCAGTAATGGCATCACAGTAATGAGGCAAGGCATCCACATAGCCCCCTGCCTGTGTGTAGGCCAGCATCACTAACCCACGAACTTGAAACCTATCAAAGTCCAAGTTCTTCCCATTCAGGGTGTAGCGGAGGTGTGGTGTATATTTGCCCCGCTTGTGTGGTCAATGCAAGGGTGGTATGCCCTTGGAGGTCTTCAGCCCAGGAGGGTCAGCAGTATGAGGGACATTTGTTTGTGGTCTAGCAGTTCCCATGGAGAGCACGCCGCCATCTTGCGTCTTGTGCTTCTGAGCTCTGGTCTGGGAAGCCAGCCAAGTTGGTGTCACTCGGGCTGCTAGTTTAGCCTAGAATGCATCAAAAATAGCATCCAGCTGTCACATAGATTGCTCGACAAGATCTCTCCTATACTCCTGTGTCAGCAGTAGAGTTTGGCCTTGATGAAAGTTTGTCTCCGCAATGAGGAAATGGCACAAAGTCCCACAAGGTTTTAGCCAGATAATAGGTATTGCAGTGGGGACCGGGATAACCACAGCCAGTCCAAAGGGGGGATAATGGGGCACTGTAGCTCTCCTCAAGAGGTGATACTTCACTGGACAGGAGGTTGGCCGCTCCTCCTTCCCGATGTTCTCGCTAGGCCTCGTCAGCTTCATTTGAGATTTAAGCATCAGCACCGCACCCGGTAACTCCGTTCTTTACTATGTAAATTTGAAGTCCAGACCACATTCCTTTTGGGGTTGGGAACCTTGCCCTCCATCTTCGGATGCCCCTTTGGAGGAGACCACAGGAAAGTATAAATTTGAGGAGGTTTGGTTAGCAATGTCACTTTAATTATAATTTTCATTTGGTATAGAGCAAATATGTGATATGCATTGTGAGTATATGCATAAAACGTATATGCAATCACTTTAATTGATTAGTTTTGTCACAGCATTCGTTCAGGATTGTGTTTTAACTACATTAATTTTGCATAATGTATATTCACAATGTTCTTAGAACAGACACATTTAGCCTAGCACTATTTCATTTGTCTTCCACGTTGGAATTAGTGTATGACCCACTAATATTGGGCTACTGTGAAGTAGTTGTGTGCTTAACACAATATGGCCATATGGTAGAACTGAATCCCCATATTTGTTTACTGAAATAGGTCATTTTAAGTACCCTTATAATATTTAAAAATGTATTGTTATGTGTACATTGTTCCTTAAGTTGTATTCTGTATAATGCATAGAAAGACCTGCACAAAAGGGCTGTTCGACTGAAAACAGCTAGGATCTAGTGCTGTCTCCTGTAAGCCACACACCCTGAGGAATGTAACTGTAGGGAAGAAAAAAAGTGTCAAAAAGACTGATTGATCAATTGTGTCACTGAAAAAATGGTGTATATTAAAAATTGACATTTAGGCTAGATGAAAAAAACCTGACAGATTTAATAAGTTGCACCAAATATTCACCAATAATTAGACGTAAAAGTGCCAACAACATTTTGATAAATCTACTCAGATGTATCCCTGTATTTTTTTTTTATTTGAATGTTGCAATCTAATATTGGTATGTTGACCTTCAGCAATGAATACTGACTGCAAGGATCATCAAACCCTCCATTTCCAGAAAATGTTGCTTGTCCATGTTATTTACCAACTGTCACCTGCTTTCCTTTTAAAATATGGAAGAGGCTTAAATTCCAAAACCAATAAGTTGGTTCATGCATTCTTTCACTTAATCATCTTTGTTGAAAAGTAAATTTGATACATGCACTATGGCTTCTAGTCTCCCATTGATCCCTGATCCCTTGGGTCTTCATCTAAAGCTTGTGCGGAAAATATTCAGTTGGTCTGTTTAATTCAAAGTTATCTGATGACAAAGCATACATTTTACTTTATCTTTTGGGAGAGGCATACCAAATATAGCCATGAATAAATTCTGTCATCCATTTGGACAAAAATATTTGTGTTTTCTTTTTGTCTATAATTGCACAATAATCTCTGAGTGTTTGAGGATTTTATTGCTGATAACCGCCCGGACTTCGAACAATTGTGGATTTATTAAATAAAACAGGTAATAACCGGTGATAGTGCAGACTGTCTAGTGTTGAGCGCAGGACACACAACAAACATATATGATTTGGCACTCACATTTCATAAAGATATAAACCAGCTCTAAGTAAAACAGAATACAGCGGTAGAATCCCCACTAATGAATATGTAGCCCTATGGGCCAGTCTCTCAGGATGCCAAAGATATAAGACAGGGTATAAAAGCAGTCAATAGTGCTCACTGTGACAAAAACATTTAAAGAAAAAATAATGAACTACTTACATTTGATAGAGCAGTAGCACCGCTCACATATTAAGACTTAGTTGGTATGATCCCCACCAAGGATATAATGTAGACTATATTCTCCAGGGAACGGTCATCTTCAGGATATAGGTGTCAAATAGGTACTTCAGAGGTATTAATGTGCCAGGAATAATAAAAAGTTAAAAGGTCTTTCAAAGCATAAAAAGTGTAATAAATGGTCAGGCACAGTAAATAGGTGAATGCCAAACATAATTTAATGGCAAAAACAAATATATAAAACAACAGAAACTACTAAATGGAGTCAGGATAACTCCTCACAAATATGTGGGGAGTCCCTCATCCATAAACGAGAACCTCTAAACGAATTAAGTATCCATAACTATGGTTACTTACGAACTATGGTTACTTTGGTACAGACGAAAAATAAAGCAGGATGGGACGACCGCCCACTTAAAGTTTGCGGACTCCAACTGCACCAAAAGAAGTTCCTTTAAAAGTAAAAATTTGTATAGGTGGTATAAACCTTTATTAAAGCCGACTATTATGATATTTAAATATAAAGAGCCTAACTAGAACAGTAGGTTCTATGTGAAAAACCAAAACCCAAATAAATGTGACATTGTGAATAAACAGAGTGATAATACACCTTTAAAATTCTGGGTAAAGTAGTCTCAAAGGCCACTTCAAGTAGTAAGAGGATTTTAATAGCTATTATAAGTATTCTCAAATTTGAGTAATCTAATAGTTCAGTAAATCGATACCTCCAGAGCATCAAGGTACAAATAATTAGTGGCTGTAGTGTGTAGAGGTTGTAAAAAATTGAACCAAAACTATGGAATAAACTGAATATGGTCAGACAGACAAATCAACAATAAACAGTGATATACACTGTATCACGTTTGAATTCATACCTAACTTCCAGTAAAAAGGAGTCTGTTACCCACCGCACACTAATGGATACATAGTTGTTGTAATTAGATAGTGTTGCTAAGTGGACTTGATACACAGTTTACAAAGTATAGGTATTCTTGTCTATTCCTTAATTAGACCATATTAATCAAAGAGTTCACTATGACGTGGACACGATATACCCAGCTCCAAACAAAGTAGAGGAGGGGATGGTTGGAAAAAAAAAGGGGGGGTTATTTAGGGGCGGTACCGCCAAAACGGGCTGAAGTGTTAGAATCACTACACAAGTGACTATCCAGCTTGTTGTATATTGTAGCTGTTACATAAGCATCAACTAACTGTCAAATCGTTAAATTACATAAGGTATAGGAGTTTGTTAAATACCAATATCCGGTCACACAGTCGCTGGCTGTCACTAGCCCGTTGGTGATTCCAAAAACCCTATCTCCTGATGCTACTGTAAGGCAGCCTGCTAGGTCGATACCCAAAGCCCCTATCTCCTGTAGCTGCTTCGAGGCAGCCTGCCTAGTAAACCCCACTTCCACGTCAAATAAAACAACCTCTTGCAGACTAACTCTCCCAGAACCTAAAATCAAATGTAGAACATCGGCACCAAAAGCGCTCGACGCGCGTTTCGGAGTAAGGATACGCCTTTGTCAAGAGCTAAGTGTCAAGTGTTCCCATGAGTGTTTAAATGAGGACATAGAGCCCTCCCTCCTACCTCCATCATCCAATCTGATCGTATGAGATGTTAAGTGGGAGTATCTTTCAATTGACTCACTCCCATTGGTGAAGCCAAATGCTCATCAGAATTAGGGGAGTGGATTAGAGACAGACTCCCACTAAGATATTAATATGTTCCCTGGCAACCCAATTAACCTGCAGAGCTCTGGATCAAAATCAGAGGATGCCAAAATAATAAAGTTACAGTCTCAATACATTGTTGCAGAAAGTAAATGTACGACTATATACAGGCATATTTATTCATACTTATTCTGAAAGTAAGCGCATTTAGGGGGCTGTAAACAGATCTTTCAAACTGATCGCACAGGGACAGTGAAAAAACTACTTTCTCTTAAAGAGACAGTCCCAATACGTAATTACAAAGAACTGACCTCTGGTTAAATACGGACATATTTGTTCAGAATATACATGTATCCAAGAACTGTAAACGGATCCCATTAATATTAATTATCAAGTCAAGAGCTATTCTCTCTTAAAGTCATAAACCATTAATTCATTGATTTATACATATCTGATTAAAGCATGGCTCATGAGAATATTGGGATCCCCCTACTAAAAATATATATGCGGGAGGAGAGGGAGAGGGAGGGGATAGGGGGAGTAGGCTCCCTATTGTTCAAAGTAATATAATAGAAAAATTATATAGTGAATTCCTCATTAACTATGGGAACACACTGACACTACAACTACCACACACATGGATACATGATCACAAGAAATATATTTACAAGTATATACAACTACATGCAGGTAAATTTTTAAGTTTAAACATTTGAGAACTGGAGCAGATGTCCACCCGGAATCAGAGGAAGCAATGCTCTCTAATTATATAAATGGGGAGAACGAAAAACACTCATTTAGACCTCTTGGACTCAAAGTTCCAAGTTTATGGATACATCTGCACTCCCTTTGGCGTAGAGTCCTATCGTAATCACCCCGTCTCTCGTCACATTTGACCAGAGAGCCACAGAACCTAATGTCCTTAGATGTCCCACTATGATGTTCTTTGAGGTGTCTGGAAATGGGGGTTTCTACACCATTTTAGGGGACCTAGCATGTTCCTTTATTTGTTCCCTAAACTGCCGGAATGTTTTACCCACATACATGAGAGTGCAGCTACATGTCAATAAGTAGACCAGCCCTGCGCTGTTACAGTTGAAAAAGTGATTGATTTTAAAAGAATGAGTTCCTTCACTATTGGTCACATGTTTAGATTCCCTTGACATGTATTTACACGCCACACATCTACCACATTCGTATGTACCAGTGGGGATGTTACGCTTGAGCCATGTGGTCGGTGGGATCAAGTTAGTGGAGAAATGGCTTGGAACTAGTAGGTCCCGAAGGTTCTTACCCCTCCATGCCATGATGGAGGCCTTTGGGCCAAGGACATCCTCCAGGTGTTTATCTTTAAGTAAGATTGGCCAAAATTTTTGAAGGGAATTATACACCACGTCCCAGCCTGTGTCATAAGTGCCTATCATCCTTATGGTCTTGTCCCGAGCCTTCTTGGTACTTGGTCCATCCGATAGGAGATCTCTCCTGTCGGTTTCCAAGGCTCTCCTATAGGCTCTTTTTAGGCATCTATTTGGATAACCTTTTTCTCTAAATTGTTGTCTCAGCATGTCCGCTTTTGATTTAAAGTCCTGTAGACTAGTACAATTTCTCCTGATCCTGAGATACTGTCCCACCAGTATACCTTGTTTTAATGGCTTCGGGTGACAGCTATCCCATTTGAGAAGGGCGTTGGAGGCAGAGGGTTTTTTATATAGGGTTGTGGTAAGGGAGCCATCCTCACAGATGGAATTAGTCAGATCCAGGAAATTAAGCCTCAAGCCACCGAACTCCGCAGTGAATTTCAAATTTTGTTCGTTGTTATTCATAAGGGCGACAAACTTACTAAATTCATCACTGGTACCCTGCCAGACAATCAGGATGACATCTATGTATCTGTGCCAAGGTAATATTTTTGGTCTGAAGTCTGACAAGGTATCCGAGAGACCTATTATCTTATTGTTGAACAGAAAAAAGTTGTGTGAAAGAATAAAATGTAACAGTCTCAAGACGAATATATAAAACAAAACAACGCCAAATAGAGGGCTTGCCATCCATCAGTGGGGAGTGCTCCGCTGTATGCTGTTTTTCTTAGAGCTGGTGTGAAGCTCTATTAAATATGAGTGCTAGATCATATATTTTTGTTATGTGTCCTACACCTAGCACTACACCAGGTGTGCCCAAGAGGTAGATCCCCAAATGTTTAAGAACTACAACTCCCTTGATGCTTTGCATGCCTTTAGAATGCTTTTAGAATGACAAAGCATCATGGATGTTGTAGTTTTTAAACATCTCGGAATCTACTTTTTGGGCTCCCTTGCACTACACAGTCTGCACTATCACCGGTTATTCTCTTTTATTTCATATATTCACAATTATCAGCAAGAAAATCTTCAAGCATGCTTGGATTTATTGGACTTAATATTTGGCGCAACCTGTATTTGTATGTGGTACCTACATATGTGTACATAAGTTAAGAACCCAATCATGAAATCTTTCACACATGAACGTAAAAACATGGAAGAAAAGGTACACCCTCACAATATTTATACTGAACATTTATAATAAAATATATATATTTTTTTTTTAAAAGGTTATGGTTAAGAAACTGCTGATTTTAATTAAACTGGCTCTTTTTCAGCCTACCCATAGTTTACCTGGAAAAATAATTTCAGCAGATAGTGAATAATAGGATATAAGTATATAACCAAACAGTATACTTGTTTTCTTGAGTCAGAACAACAACATGGTCACTATACACATATGAAACTATATTAAGGTGTGGCAACAGTTAATTAATGACCTATTTATGTCTTGCCAGCTATTCATTGCTGACCATTAAACACATACACCTTTAATAATGCATAAAAAAAATATTGTAATTGTTGAAAAAAATAAAGCAACAGTTTTAACAGAATACAAATGAATACAGCCTTTTCCCTATTCTGCTTCTATTTCTTTATTCATTGCTATTGACTGTAAAGTACTGGCATGACAAATCTGGGAGTTTTTACATTATTATATATTCTAATGTATGAACATGGCCACTTTTGATACCAGTTAAAGTGAAGCACTAATTTTGTTGCCACAAGCATTCTTGCCACTGGATCCATTTTTTCAAAGCCTTGTGAAATGCTATGTAATTTAAAAAAAATGCACAGATTACAATATTTCAGGGGGAAAAAATAAATTAAGCTTTTCACTGCATTGTCATGTATTTATAAATCTCTACTTAGAAAGGTTTGATTTAATTTAATCGAATTGTTATTGAAAGCCTGAACCTTTAATCAAGAAATAGTACTTTGCGTGCAGTTTTCAAAATACTGCAAGTTCTTTAGAGTTGCCATAGAAATATAAACTGTTGTCAGTCTCCTGTTGGCTAATGTAGACATTTCAAAGAATTATTTAAAAAGAACATGAAAAATAAACACTAGCTTGTGATATGCATGTAATATATTTTTCACATTTTATTTCTTAAATGTCACTTCTCTGGAAAGAATACCATTGAATAAAACATCCATGAATAAGTATTGTCGCCAAAACGTTGTATAATTATGTTCTCCTGATCCTTAATAAAACGCATTTTTATTTGCACTACTCTGAAAAACCTTTGGAATCAGATTCTTTTTTTTTAATGTAATTTTTTTTTTTTTTTTTTACATAGAATACTTTATTAGTCCCTTATAGCTAGGATAGCCTTATGCCTATCCCACGCATGCTTAAACTCCCTCACTGTGTTAATATCTACTACTTCAGCTGGAAGGCTATTCCATGCATCCACTACCCTCTCAGTAAAGTAATACTTCCTGATATTATTTTTAAACCATTGCCCCTCTAATTTAAGACTATGTCCTCTTGTTTTGGTAGTTTTTCTTTTTTTAAATATAGTCTCCTCCTTTACTGTGTTGATTCCCTTTATGTATTTAAATGTTTCTATCATATCCCCCCTGTCTCGTCTTTCCTCCAAGCTATACATGTTAAGATCCTTTAACCTTTCCTGGTAAGTTTTATCCCGCAATCCATGAACCAGTTTAGTAGCCCTTCTCTGAACCCTCTCTAAGGTATCAATATCCTTCTGAAGATACGGTCTCCAGTACTGTGTACAATACTCCAAGTGAGGTCTCACCAGTGTTCTGTACAATGGCATGAGCACTTCCCTCTTTCTACTGCTAATACCTCTCCCTATACAACCAAGCATTCTGCTAGCATTTCCTGCTGCTCTATTACATTGTCTGCCTACCTTTAAGTCATCAGGAATAATCACCCCTAAATCCCTTTCCTCATATGTTGATGTTAAGACTGTATGATCTATTCTATTCCCTGCACTTGGATTTTTATGTTCTGTTTTCTTAAATGTTTATTTATTCAATGTTTAGCAAAAGACTTCACAAACCAGCCCAGGCACATTCGTGAAATATTGTTTGACTTAGCCTTTTATCTGTTCTCTCTGTGCTGACTGCCAGTTGTAAAAGGCAGAGATTATAACAATGGCTGACAGGGAGCTAAGAAAGAGGCAGATTTCTGCAGGATAAAGAGTTGTTGATTTCTCACCTCACAAATAAATATATCTATATATGTTCAATACAGGGGATAAATAAACAATATGTAAAAAGAAATGAAAGTTCCACTTTAAGTATCATCAAAATCCTCAGTGCCTAAGAATATACATACTGGTACTAATGGAGCTGAAGACTCCCACAAATGACACCCATGATATTAATATGTCCACAGACAATTTATAAGGTCATTTGGAATAATCTGATAATTGCAATTATAGCCAAGTACTGTGGAACATTTGTAATGTGCTTCAGTGAAATGGCAAATGTTTGATATTCTGACATTTTTATTTGATGGATTTAAAATATCTCCAAAGATCACCTCTCGCCAACTCTGTAG